AACAATGTTTTTAAATTGTTTAGAAGTATTTTAACAATGAGCAGGTAATGTTCTTTCCATGGCGGTGCGTTGTTCTTGCCTTGTTTCTCTTTTTAAGGGGTGAATCACGGGGTGGTGTTCAAAATCATTCAAAATGATTTTTTACGATCATCACAAATTAACATTAACGATAATTGTCATCGAAATTATAATCGCAATTGTGTAGTGAGTGGATTTGCTAGAATCGCAATATTCATATCTACCAAAGAACTAATTAGTTTTCTAGCAAACCGTTCAAAGAAGGGAAGACAGTGCTAATTAAGCTAGTTTAATTTTAGTTCATAATCAACTTTAAAAAGAAAGACTGATTAATCGTTGTTAGGTTTAAGTTGTAAGGCAGAAATTAATATTTGAGCTAGTAATCGCCATCAAGCGGTCGGTATCTCGAACTTGTTACCATTTCAAAATTGAAAATATGTACACTAAGGACGGTAATAGGCAAATAAATGAAAATCTGTATCCATGGAAATAATTCGTTAATATCAGTCAGTATCGAACAGACATCGACATATTACACACGTGGCACATACAAATACAAGATGCAAGAATGGAGAATAAAAATGTAGTAAGTACAATGACACATACTCAATATGTGAATTAATTGTACTGTAATTAATTGTAATAATTAAATTTTCAGACGCATATTGAACAAGAATTGCTGGATATTGGAGAGGAGATTTCTTGTTTGTTTATTTTGTTCATCCTTAAACTATTATCTATTTGTTTAATTTTATCCTTGAAATATACCTTTGAACTGTTGTCTATTTGTCTGATTTTATCCTTCAAAAATATTTGTAAGTGTAAGTATGATTAATCATACGTAAGAGTATGCTATAACTTTATTAAAGCTCAACAAATTATTCCAAATACGACGTGTCCGCTGTTACGCGTCTGGGCGCTCGCCAGGAACTATTACTGCTTTGACTCGTCGCTTTCCCAACGTCCTTTTTAAGGGGTGGAAATACGCTGTGGCCTTATCGGTCTGGCCCAAACAATGTAACCCGGGACTTGGGCATCTGGTTTCTATCAGGCAGGCCTCTTCCTACGCCGTTAGTCTTTCGACTTCGCTTACACATATTTTATTTATTTCCTGCATATTACACGAGGTGTTCGATTATTTTCTTAGAGCATATACTACATGGAGAAAGCCTTACGGCGGCAGTGTAGACGACGGTGTGAGAGAGAGAGAGAGAGAGAGAGAGAGTAATTCGGGTACTATCTTTTTCTCTCGCGCAAGCACATGATTGCTTGACGCGTCTGCGTCTCTACTGTTAGAGAGAGAAAGAGAGTATCCGAACTATTGCTTTCTCTCTCTCCCACCGTCGTCTACACTTTTTCACACAGGTCCTCCATGCAGTATACCAGGCATGGCCAACTCATTTCTCCCTACTTCAATAGCTGTCCCCACCTCGTGCCAAGGTCACAGTGGAAAAATTATGAGAACCCTGCTTAACGCATCCCCAGCTAGGCTTCCGCTGAAGGTCGTGTCGCGTGCGCGACACCTTTGGCCATGTCTGCAGTATATGCTCTACGATTATTTTAGATATTAGATAGATTACGTTAGATAGTCTTACGTTTATTGCGAATACATCTTACGGTCTGTTCACATTACCGTAAAAAAACCGTACCGTAAGATCAAGGGACACGGTAGCGTCCCGAATTTTTCTCACGGGGTCTTTGGCAAAAGTTTGGACTCGAGAGATGCCTCTGCCGTAAGAAGCAGTACCGAAGCAGAAAGTTAAAATATAGAAAAATCCATGTGAAAGCACGGGGGCTTCAGAAGGGCCCGGCAACGTCTTTACAAGACTAGCGCGAAAGTATGGGTCCACTACCCGCTGTGAGTAGCTGCTAGACCTTCTTTTTACGGTCGATTCTGTTTCAGGTCAACTCGACCGTAATTTCGAAACCATGAGCCACGATGTTTTCCTACTAGAACCATCGTAAAATATCTCAGATACAGCGATATATACTGATGTTTAATAATTTTATTTGTATCCGATTCCTGTATCTTTGATATTGTTGTAATCTTTTGTTAAATGGAAAATCGTCACTCGTTGGTTGTTTTCTACGCTTTTTTAATAACACTGACAATTGCAAGTAGCAAATCAGTCAGCTTCAGCAATTTATTGGGGGTCTGTACGTATTTGACATATTTTGTGGTGGTTCTGGTCGTAAAAGATCGTGGCTCATGATGTTTTAAAGTTATGATCGAATTGACCTGAAACTTACAGAACGGCAGTAAAAAAAGGTCTAGCAGTTACTCGAAACTGCACAGCGGATGGTGGACCCATACTTTCGCGCTAGTCTGGGGAAGAAGTCGGCGGGATATTCTAAAGTCCCCGTGTTTTTACATGGGTTTCGCTATACTTTTTAATCTTCTGCTACGGTACTGTTTCATACGGCGGATAGTCTGATCACATTAACGTAACGTAACCGTACGGTAAGAAAAATCTTACGTGGTAGGGGACGAAATTTTGGGCTCGAGAAATGCCCCGGCGTATATATTATACACGTATATAATATATATGCTTATTAAATAACATTGCATATGTATAATATATATAATATATGCTTATTAAGTAAAATTGTGTGTGTATAGTATATATAATATATACTTATTAAATAAAATTGTCAAACATCAGTATGTATCGCTGTATCTGAAATATTTTACGGTGGTTCTGGTGGGAAAAGATCGTGGCTCATAATGTTCCGAAATTACGGTCGAGGTGACCTGTAACTTACGGGATCGATCGTAAAAAAAGGTCTAGCAGCTACTCGAGCTGAACAGCGGGTGGTGGACGTGCTTGTGAAGTCCCCATGCTTTTACATGGGCTTCCCTATACTTTCAACTTTCTGCTACGGTATAGCCCAACATTTCGCCCCCCACCACATAAGATTTTACTTACGGTACGGTTACGTTACGCTAGTGTGAACAGACCATTTGCCGAGCCCAAAATTTCGCCGAAGACCCCGTAAGATATTTCTTACGTCCTGGGAAGGGTCATTCGTTTGTCAGTTTCCGTGGAAGTGAGTTCGTTGAAAAGTTAGTGTGGAACAATGCCAGCACCTCGGTTGAATGACGAACTATTAATCACACTTGTGAAGAATAATCGTGCCTTATACGACGCTAACTCCCCCAAATATTGCAATCTTACATACAAGGATAAAATCTGGGAAGAAATTGGAAACGAATTGGACGCCAACGGTAAGTAACTTGTATTTTTGCCTTAGACATTGTTTTTTATTACGAATACTTGTACACAAATATTTCTGTGTGAGCATAGAGTTAGAGATGTAGAGTGCGCGTTCAATGCTGAATGTGAGCATTGAAGTACAAGATGCCGGATGAAGAGAGAGAAAGAGATAGTCTAGTGGAGATCTGTCTCTCTCGCAGACGCCAATAGTGGCGGGAAAAAGAGAAGAGGGGTCACGCCGGCAACATTTGACTGCTATCTGCTATTACATCCCTCTTTCTCTCTCTTCGTCCGGCATCTGCTTTAATGTTCAGCACTGAACGCGCACTCTATTGGCCAGTATTCAGAGTCTTCGCTTATTCTTAAAATCGGCCGGTATTTATAGTCGTTTCTTATTCTTCTGCCTAAGTCCCTGTTCCCTGTACAAGACAGGGACTGGAAATATGGGATAGACAGGGATAGCAAATTCTTAAGACGATCTTAGGAATAAGCAACGACTCTGAATACCGGCCTTATGTCCAGCGTTGAGATATTTTTACCCACGGCCGGAAAGTGGGGACGACGCGACCATGGTGGGGACCATAACGCTGCGGAGAGCTTCGCGAACGCGCATGAGCACGCATGAGGGGAATAGTAGTGG